ATAGTTATAAGCGACAATGATTGTTTTAAACCTTGCTCATCCTGTTTTAAATGTGCACTTTTTCCTGTGTTTGCAGAGGCCCAGAGCTTATTATTTAAATAAGCAAAAAACTTAAACAGATTTTAGTTTGTGCTTATAAAGACATGACAAACCTCATATAGAAGAATCCTTTAACTGGGCTGCAAAATTCCTCCACTCAATCTGCAGGACCTTCGTGGAGTATTCTGACGCCCCCTGCTGGGAGAAATTAGCAATACCCTACAAGGTCTACTTTGTACGGATTTAAATTTGTTTCTCAAGCACAAAAACACGCACATTGCATTACCAGACTCGAGCAAACGTTCTATTTACAGAGCAGGTTTTTATGAATGCATGGGCAAAACGTTGATAGAGAAGAATATAAAAATATAAGCTTTTTGTTTGAGGCAGGTTAGAATAACAAAATACAAAAATGTTATATTTTAATTTGCAAGACTCTTCTGACTTCTGACTGATTTTTTTATGCAATAAAAATAACCTTCAAATAATGCACTCTGGCAAATTTCTTCATTCTGCATTCCCAAAACAATTGCAGGAGGTCAAGTAAGACTGTAGGGACCAGAAAAGGTGTAACCTTGCTCTGAAAGGACAAATGAAAATAGGGAAATGATAAAGAAAATCACTCCCCTAAAATAAAAAAGGTAAATTAATAAAGAAAACATTAATATATAATATTTATTTTAACTCAAGCACTTTGATTTTACCCTTCATATTTAATGCCCAATCCTAAGAACATACCTGCACGTCTAAAAAAAAAATCTGGATTTCTAGATCTAAATTAAAGACTTTCAAAACCTAATGATGTCATGATTTTTACTGTGATGGCTGGCTTGATTGCTCATTTCATTCACCTGTCTAGCTCTGCCCTGTTTCTCATCACTGCTCATCTGATTCACCTGCTCCCTCTTCTATTTAAACTCCTTGGTCCCAGCCATCAGTGCCAGATTATTCTTGAGCCTTTAGTGTAGAGAGTTTTTGAGCGTTTCTTGTAGTGTTCTGTTTGCCTGATCCTGACCTGTTTCTGTATTTGGAATTTTGAGCCTGCCTGCTCTTGTCTGATCTGTCCACCTGGCCTGTCTTTGGACTCCTGTTGGATTCTTCTGTGGACTGAACCTGGATCTACCTCTTGACCTCACCCTGTCAATCATCCTACCTTCCTTTTTCTGGTCGGATCTGATCTCCTGTCAGTTCTGCAGCCTTCTAGGCTTCCGCATCTGAAACAAGGTGAAGAACTTGTCAGCCGACCGGCTGGAATCATCCTCGTTCTCCGGGCACGGACTGCTCTGTCAAACTAGGTTAGTGACTCACGTGTTCATAATTAACCTCCGTCAAATTATTGTTGTCACTAACCTGTGTTTCTCTCCTGTAGACGTTCCTGTGATTGACGCCCTAGTCGCTGCTTCTGCAGACCTGATGGTTTAAATAAACGCTTTAAGTTTTTCCTCTGTCTTGCTGGAATTCTGGGTCTGTTCTGAGTTCTGACAAATGAAAAAAAAAAAAAACTATTAACTTTTTTCAAAGTCATGTTGTAAAATATATATTGTAATTTGGGTTTAGTTCACATTTTAAAGGAATTCTGCAACACAAATAGATATGGATATATTTCACATCCTCCAATATCTTTATCTCTTACCATTACTAAATATATCACTAAGCCTTAGAAACCAAAAGGCTTAGTGACTCTTTGGAAATGAAGGCAAAATGCCTGGGAACTGAATCGAATGGACAGGAAGTTTAGTGCTGAAAAAAAAAACCTCTGCTCTTCCTCATCTGTCTCTTTTCCTGTTCAGGGTTGATCCCTCTTTTCTGCCCTATGCCTCTCAGCATGTATCACTCTCTTTGTCTGTTCTTATCCTCTTTTTACCACAGAGTTCTGTTTTCACAGTGTTGCCTGTGTCAGTTCCTTTTCCTATAAAACTCTCAGGGGATTCTCTTCTTACATATGGCAGACCGGTTGAATATGTATGTCACAGCATTTGCAAACAAACCTATAGAGACAACAAACCTACAAGCACGCCCCAATAAATTAGAGAACTCAAAATAAGATATTTCAGTTAAATTTGATTGTGGCTTTCAGCTAACAACTTTTTATCTTCCCTACATTATCTACATTGTATGTAAGCATAGTGATAGAAAAATGTGCTTAAAAATATGCTGTTGATTATCCTGGACATGGACTGCAACTGCAACTGAAGGGTATCACCAAGACTCAGGGGAAAATAGATTGGACTATTATTAATGTTTGGTCCAAAGTTTTCTTTATAGATAAGAACAATATTTACATCACATGTAAATATAAAAATGAAGGTCCCAGAGGCTGGGTGAGTAATAATAATTTAAGAGTGTTGCGTACTCTGCAAAAGCAGAGGTATTTCTTGTGGGTTTTTTTGTTATTTTCGGGGTCCAGACAGGTCCCACAGGATTTGTAGATATTAGTCAGAGGTGTCAAAGGTACTAATATTTATTACTCAAGTATAAGTATAAATCCTGATGTTTAAAACACTTTTGTAGAGGTTAGAGTATTAACTTAATTACTAACTTAAAAAGTATTAACTTAAGCTTTTTACTCTAGTAAAACTATGAAAGTACCCTTTTTAAAGCTAAATATAGTATAAAGCTAAAGGTATTGGAGGAAAAAAGGTTAAAGGCAGATGATTTAAATTTCATACTGGTTGCTGCACTACCCTATTAAAGGAACATTTTTCTACAATTCTGGATGATAACTTCCTTATACTTTATTTTCTTATTTTAATAAATGACGATAACAGTGTCAATTTTAACTTTACATAATCTTGATAACCTATTTGTCTGGATGAACCAAATAATTTTTTTGATTTACTATTTTATTTAATATTTTTAAATACCAACAGGCTATGACAAAAATTATCTTAAATGAAAGAAGAATAATGAATCTAGTTTTAAAATGTACAAAGTACAAAGTAGAGATAATTGCAAAAAAAACGTGAAATGTCTAAAAAACAGTTACTCCAGTAAAGAATAGATAGCCAAAATTTAAAGTAAGGTAAGGAAGTATTTGTACTTTGTTAATTGATACCTCTGATATTATTTCACAGAAGTAAAACAAGGTAAACGCTGAGTCCTGATGATGCCTTAAGAACAAGCTGAGGAACAGGGTGTTGCAATTTGATCATTCAGCACTGAGAGAAATTAGTTTGCCTCTAGTTGAAAAGATTTCTATTTAAGGAGGCCAGCAGATTACACTGAACCACTGACTGCAGAAGTCACTCCTCTTGTATGAGCATGTTTAACAGGGGACGATCGCTCCCATTGTTTCATCGACTTTGGAGCAATCCCTCTTACTGAGCATGCATGTAGTGACAGTGGAGAGGAAAAACTTCCTTTTAACGGGAAAGAATCTCCAGTACACCTTCTGCCACACAGCTTACTGCCTCAGCCACATCCTATGTCTCCTAGGAAGAAAAGACAGAGTTAAGCACAGGACCAAGGTGACAATCCATTGAAGCAAGTTTTGCCTCCCATCCAGAAAGGTTTTTCAATTCAAAAAATCAGAATTAGCGCTGAGATCAAGGCTTTACAGAGTGGACCAAAAACAAAGCCGGGTTTTGGCTTAGAAAACATGCAAATTGGGGAGTCGAATGGGGAGTCGTTTGGGTTCCTTGTTAGCCTGCAATACCCATGGATTGTTTTTTAACTTTTTTGGAATGACTATGACCTGGATGGCTGAAATAGTCACCAGTGTTTTACTGAAATAAAAATCAGATTTATCGAGAGACAATTCTTTAATCTCAGAATTCTGACTTTAATCTCAGAATTCTGCTTTTGATCTCAGAATTCTGGCTTTTTTTCATAGAATTCTGACTTTAATCTCAGAATTCAGACTTTTTTTTTCAGAATTCTGACTTTTTTTCTCAGAATTCTGACTTTAATCTCAGAATTCTGTTTTTGATCTCAGAATTCTGGCTTTTTTCGTAGAATTCTGACTTTAATCTCAGAATTCTGACTTTTTTCTCAGAATTCTGACATTATTCTCAAAATGTTGACTTTAATCTCAGAATTCTGACTTTAATCTCAGATTTCTGACTGAATTCTGATAGCTAACAAACATGTTAGCATCAAGCTGTGGCCATTTCTGTTTTAGAGACTAGCTCTATTGTTGACCTTCTGCTCTTCCATTCATGAAATAGCATCACCGGGGACCCCCCAGGCACGTAAAGAGTTGCCTAATTTCATCATTTTCCACCAAAGTGTCACTGGCCCTCCCAAACAACTCACATCTTTGTCGGTGAAGCTGAGTGCTCCCACATCTCTTCCTTCATGATGCCCATCTACATTAAGATCCAAAATTCTAAGATTTAAGTCAGAACTCTGAGATTAAAGTCAGAATTTTGAGGTAAAAAGTCAGAATTCTGAGAAGAAAGTCAGAATTTTGAGATTAAAGACAGAATTCTGAGAAAAATTCAGAATTCTGAGATTAAAGTCAGAATTCTGAGGAAAAAAGTCAGAATTCAGAGATTAAAGTCAGAATTCTGAGAAAAAAGTCAGATATTTCAGGAAAAAAAGTCAGAATTCTGAGATTAAAGTCAGAATTCGGAGATTAGGTTAGAATACTGAGATTAAAGTCAGAATTCTGAGATAAAAATAAGAATTCTGAGATAAAGTCAGAATTCTGGCTTTAGAGTGCTGTTAGTTTGCTGTTTCTCTGAGTGAGACTTTCAGTCTGTCTGTATGTATGTGAGCAGAGGCACACACTTGCAGCTCTTTAACACTCTGCACATGACAGTCTACAGACAAAGAGCTCCATTCAGGTCAATATTGCTTTGCTTTATGTAAAGCATGATTTAGGAAGCTTTATTTATTGAATATTTCCAATGTATAATAGTTCTGTTAGTGTTAAAGTTAAGATGAAAAATAAAACTCACTTGTTTTGTGTAATTTTGAACTTTTCCATCTGACTTTTTCTTTTTTTTTTCTTTAATCAGACGCCATATGCACGCCTTCAGGACTCGACCGATTTTTCCTCCTCCTGAACGTCAACATACTGCTCTTTTTCCCCCCACTGCCATATTTCCAGTTTGGGAATCTCTGGGACTGGAGGTGAAGTTTACTTTCCCCCCAGTATCTGAACAGCAGCTGAAACATCGAGTGAACATGTAGAAATGGATTTTATGAGGCTTTTCGGCACCGTTATCGCCGTTTTGTTTCACCCTGGATCCGCTTCGAAAATTAATGGTAAGATTTTTGCTTCGGGGGCGAAAAAAAAACCCATAAAGAAAGAGTCTCCGTTCCTTGTTTACAGATAATCCAAATTCTTTCTTATATTTACAATTAAAACGGAAATGATTATTTTTTTGCACTTTTTGTTTTGTTTTGTGAAACAAACTGAGAGCCTCGCGCCTTAAAAAGTCCAAAGCGAGCAATTTGCGTGTTTCATAATAACATCGAAGAAGAAGTAAACAACAGTTTGTGACCGGGGTCTAAGAGAGGCGGCTATAATTTAACAGTAAATATCATTGTCTGCTGTCCGACATAGACATTAAAGCGCTTACAAGACTAGACTGCTCCACCAACACTGTTACATAATAGAAACGGTCAGTAAGCATATTTTAACTGCATGGTCCTGAATTAATTAGATGTTATCCAGTCATATGTCTCCACTTTTAAATGGGATACAATGACTCAATTATTAATGTGCTTGTTTTCATTTATTGACTGCATGGGGATAAGAATTAAACGCTTTAGACCAGTTGAGGGTAAAGCAGCAACAAACAAATCTAAACAAGCCAAATTACTCTGTCAAAATGATGGATTTCCCTTATGTTTGGGGATGGTTGTAAAATAGGATTGAAAAGACTCATTTACGTGGGTGGTTCTAGAGAGGGGCCAGCAGGGCCAATGCCCCTACAGCAGGGGTCTTTAACGTTTTCCAGGCCAAGGACCCCCAAACTGATAGCGAGATGGACCCCATAATTATGTTTATTGTATGAAATTATGTTACACAGTGGAATCCGCTTACAGTGATCACTAGGGCCGGGTATTTGCGCCGAATTCCTGAATCGATTAGATTTTGATTCATACAGTTATTTTTCTTATTTATTTATTTATTTTTATTACAGGAACAAAGCATAATTGTAACATTTCTTTAAATAAGAGCGCAAACCTTTCACCTACAGTTCCCACATAATTTTTTTTTTAAGAACAAAGAACACACATAGAATACCTTCGGTAGTAAAATACTAATAAAAAAACAAAACAATAATATTAAAATGAAAAAAATAATAATAAAATAAATTAAATATATATATATATATATATATGATTCATACAGTTCTAAATCGATTCATTTCGATTCGATCTGTTTATAGAATAATGAAAGTGGTTCAGCTGTGTTTCAAAATACAAAATATTTCTTTCCTGTCATATTAAACACAAAGTGCAAACTTGCAAATCAGACAGTTTAAACTTGAGAGGTGAACAAAACTGTCTCAAAAGCGCAAAGTTGTTTGTGAAAAGTGAAAACATGAAGCCTCACATGAGCAAGCAGACTTGACACAGCGGGGACACAGCAGACATGCATGAGCTGCATTATCTTCACTGAACAAACCATATTTGCAGCGTTTTCTGTAACAACTACAGGGTGTTTGCTGGTCAGACCCCATTTATTAATGTGTTCAGTGGACCTATTGAGTATATTTGCAGCTGTCTGGCTTGAAGTAATCTCGGTGGTCTGTAGCACAAGATGCAAGGCACCACTCATTATCAGTGTAGTGGGAAGTCACCTTAATGTCACATATCCAGCACATTATCTTTAGCTGTTTTAAATCCAAAATGGTTCCAGGCTTCAGTTGGGACAGCTTGCTGAGCGATTTGTTACTTGGGTTTGCATTTGCACACGCCTGCTCATTTGAACTTGAACGTCATGCGCGTCACTATAAAAAATCGATCTAATTCCCTACACATCGATTTTGCAAAAATGTAAAGGAATCGATCCAAAATCAATTAAATCGATTTTTTTACCCAGCCCTAGTGATCACGTTGGTCCAGAGCCAATCTGAACACTATAAGTGGTTGATTACTATATCCGAATTTACCGTTATTTCACATATTTTTTTATGTTGAATATGATCTAAATGCCATTTGTGTGGTTTTCCAATGAGAAAAATGAAATGAAACGGATAGCTTCCGCATTTACTGAATTTTATTACAGTACCATGCAACTTTAAATACAGTATACTGCGCTGTGCGCGGACATAACTCTGGTTGCCTGGTGCCGCCGGTGCATTTTTTTTTCAACAAGTCTGAAGTTTGAAACAAACAGTTTCATAGAGCAACATAGAAGATAACCTCATAGGCTACAGAAAATTAAAGCTAGCCTACGTCTGTTTTGTGTTGTGGATCTGCTGTGCCGCATTAAGAAATCACCTAACATATTTATCCATGGTTCCCTGGATCAGAGTCTTGTCCAACACCAAGTTCACTTCTTTTTCAGAACAATGTAAAAGGTCAAGGTTTTTGAAACCAACGTGCAGGAGACCAGTCTTTAAAATGCAAACTGCATTCCTCATCTCAGCTCTGGAAGAGACAACAGTCTCCAAATCTTCATCCTCCTATTCGCTACCTCAGCAATGATGTCCTAATCTGTCACGGGTTCTGACAGAGGAGTGCTGTCATTACTTTCGATCCACTTGGCCAAAAATAAACACTATAAGCGGTTTCTTGATTACTATAAACAAAGTATTTAGACAGCATTTGTATATAAATTATTCTGTCCCAAGCCTTCTGAACGCTATAAGCAGTTGATTACAATATCTGTGACCACTATAAGCGGATTCCACTGTATCAAACTGGTCCTATAGTCACTCTATTACAAATGGATTTTCAAAGTATTACTGATTCTGATTCCTCATTGATGGGACAGGTGTTGTGAATGAAACGGTGTCCAGCTTAAAAGAGCTCCTGTGTGTCGTTGAATGTGTGCATTGATGCCTGAAAGACATCTTCTGCCTCTATTTATCTGTTTACTACAGTGTGTTGAATTCATATTAATGTGTATTTAAAGACATTTCAATTATTGGAAAAAATTGCAGGAGGAAATATAAAAATTAAAAGTCTAACCAACCCAAATTTTAGCGATCCCCATGCAGTACATCCTTGGACCTTCTAGGCTTCCCGGACCCCCGTTGAAGACTTTCGCTCTACAGAACTGGTCTCAGTGTTCTGTCAGATCAACATACCGCGTCAGACCAGCATACCCAGAGTCGATGCCGATTTGTCCCTTTAGTTTATTCCCGTTTATCCCTTTAGTTTTGTATGAAAAATACACTTTAAACTACTTCAACAGGCATTAATCACTTTAGTCATGCACAAAATCTATGTAATTACTTACTTTTTGGTGTTTTTTTTAAGCGTATGGTGATCTGACCTTGAATAAAGGGAATAAAGGGCCCATTGAGGTAGTTTAAAGTCTATTTTCGTACAAAACAAGGGATAAACGCAAATCTGAAGTCTTGCGCATGCGTATTGACTATGGGTATGCTGGTCTGACGGGATAGGCTGATCTGACAGAACACCTATCATGGCTCCTGTACTCAATACATAATACTAAATACATTTTATATGATATATTTGTTGGCAAAATCCTTTTTTTTTTTTTTTTTTTTTTTACAGGTTTAGTCTAACAATGATGTAAGATTAAAGCGTTGCACTTTAGCTTTAGTCATAGAGATAAGATCGCAATTTTCCTCTGCTAGATAAGGGTCTTCAGGGCCATGAGTGTCTTTTTAACTCTTCTCATCTATTGAGATTACAAAATATGTTTTATGTTCTCTTCTTATGCTCCCTGCACCTATTAAAAGAGTCCCTGGCTTCCTTGGTTAATTAAATATAGATCTTTCTAATCTTGTGCTAATCCTCAACCTGGATCAGATTCAAATTATATTTTTGTAATACTGTCAGAGATGCACTGCAGAGGGAAATTATATTTCAATTCAATGCAGATAATTTATATAGCACCAATTTACAACACGTCTCAAGATACTTTGCAGAGACATTCAATCAGATCATACAATTCATTCAAAATATATCATAGCGATCAAACTGGTACAGCTAATAATCTATTAAACATGATGTGAGGTGGAGGTTTCCCCTCTGAGAGCATCTAGCTGGTTTGCATTGATGTATAAAAAAATATATCTGTCCATTAAAAATGTAAAGAGTAAATCAAACCATTTATTCTTAAAGTAGATAAAGACGTTGAAGGTCCTTTAGATTATCACATGGTTGCAGTCAGTACAGTTATTAATGCAGACAAAATAAGTGTTGTTCAATGAACTGGGGAAATGTAACGTATCTACTGGTGCCTCATTTTCAGTACTGATGCTCATCATTCAGCCCTGGGTTAATAAAGATTAAATATTAAAAATAAACAAGTAGACTAATAGCAATTAATCAGTTCCTTAATTTGTTTACTGTTTTATTTTTTAGAACATAATGTCTAATATGTTAAATTATAAACTAAACGAATATACAGTTCAACTCAAAATAAAACTACTATTTTATGTGTAAAGTTCTTAATAACTGAAATATTAATACTGATAATAAAAAAGAGGATCCAAGAAATGTCCAGGATGAAGCTCTAAATTATATTTATGCCCCAACAATTAAGGCCTTTTTCTCTACAGAAAGTATTTTATAGATGCCACAGACTGCTCTGTTTCACAGCAACAGAACAAATTTATGAAAGAAGGAACATATTCATATAATCAATGTTAATCAAATGTTTGGAAATCTCTCAGCAGGACTAATATAATCGAATGTGTTTTTAGGATCTGACCATCGTACAAAGATTTAGAAAATCAACTTTATATCAGTTACTGAGATTGCCTGAATTGAAACACTTTTGATCACTAGGATGATCAAAAATTCAGATTAAGGATTAAGATCTGCATAACTCAGAAGCTTCATGATCTTCAGTGAGATACATTCTTGATCTTTTCGCTTCTTAAAAAAAAATCAAGAAAAAATGTTAGAAAAATTGTAACTTTCTTGTTTCATTGATTTTCAGCAAAGTGTTTAATGCTGAAACAAAACATTAATATTTTTTGTCTAAAAGGTATATTATGTATACTTTCTTTAAAGACGGAAGATAGAGAATTGTTTTACCTTCATCCCCTCCTTCAAAGGTCTCCTATTAAGTGCAGCAGTGTTGCTGATTTAGACCGACCATGTCGAAAAAATAGTTTATTCAACTATTGTCACCCATTTCAGGTAGGCCATAAAAAGTTCTACTGGATTCACTTTCTATTAGTCTTTTTCCTGCTTCACAAAGGTAGACAGCAGCTTGATAAAGCCATGATGGCAATTTTATTTTACATCCAAGTAGTATGCAGTTCTTCAAATATAAACACACACATCAATTTAAAACAGATGGCATCGGTATGGCCAATACTGCACAGCCAGGTATTGGGTATCGGGGCCAAAAAATGGCATTGGCACAACACTATCTCTGATTCACAGTATTGGTATGAATACTGCGGTAGCTCCACAGAATCTGTCACACTCAGACTGGGGCATGAAAGCTGACTGGAAGGAGGGCCCCCTGACTAAAGTTCACTAAGGGCCAAAAATAGCTAAGTCTGCCACTGCCCATAGCTTTGTCTAGTAGAGAAGATGGACTAAGCACTGAAAAACAGGCCCAACTCTTTCATCTTTAAGGGGTTGATTGCAGCAGTCTGGCTGCGATGCATTGTAGGTAGCAACAGAACCAGTTGGATAAACTTAGAAAATATTAACCAATGCAGCCACAGCCGACTAGGGGATATTTGGGTTAGAACTAATTGGTTTTATGTTTGATTAAAGTGAGACCCTGATCATTGTACTAAGTTTGTGATTTTTTTCTTGGGGGCTTACGCTTAGCAGGTAAAAGCCTAATGCTCAAGTAAAAAAAAATTTGCTTTCTGATGGAGACGTCTATGACCAATACAACCAATGTTGTGCAAGTTCATAATTAAAAAAATGAGCTCAAATTTCAAGTCAGACAGATGAAAATGATCTAGTTCACATTAATAGTCCATAAACCTAAAAAATGAAGTAGTTCAAGGTAATTTGGTAATCGTACACAATAGAAACTCATATTTTACCCTTTAAGTGTGTGATCATAATGTATAGAAATGAATGGAAGATACTCGATGCAGTCAAGGTATACTGTACTGTAATGTAGTGAAGCCTTTATTAAGCCAAATTACTCAGAGCCTCATAAACATACAGGTAGATTCAGGTTCTGCTGAAAAGATCTGCATCAAAAAGGATTTCTTATGTTCCTCATTCAGTAGCAGATATTTCCTAAGATAGCTTGAAAGCTTTAACCAGATGTGTTGCTTTAAATTTGTAGTGGAATAGGCTGACATACAGACATGTTTGTCAAGTCTCGGTGGACAGTTTGCACAAAAACGTGAGTTGCTTTTTGTTTGAGTTGTTTGAGTTGGGTTCTTTCTTTGTTAGTTCAGAAAACTCTGCTAGGTGCTCTGAAAAACTGGAAATACAAGTAGATGAGTCTGAATCGTAGACATGCAGTAGACATGCTTGTCTGTCATGCTGTACCGTGTTTTCCGGACTATAGAGGGCGGCTCACTATACACCGCACCCACTCAGTGTTTATTTAAAAACATGAAACATACATATATAAGCTACACCAGGCTATATCTACTGAACTGTCCCCCACCAAACCTCTACATATCACTCCTAGAGTGGAACGAAGAAGAATGCTATCCAGTCTCTATGATGGTAGATTTATGTCTATTATTCAATAGAATAAAGGTTGCTTCAATCAAAAAATATATTTTCAATGAAAAACACATTCACAACAAAGAAAAAAAAAACCTTTCAATGAAAGAATAAATGTAAACATATAGTTGAGACTTCAAAAAATAAATTTGAACACTGACGTGCTGGCTTGGAGTTCATCTGCCTAGCTGTGTGTTTCCTGGATGGGGCCACCAGTGGAGCTGGTTGACAGTTACCTTTTTCTATCTCTGCTTTGAACAGCAGTCGGCCTCGACAGATTGCCGCTCTCACTGAGTTCTGCTGGAGGTTTCCTCCTGTTAAAAGGGAGATTTCCTCTCCACTGTCGCTACAAGCATGCTTGGCATGAGGGGTTGCATTTGAGTCAAGGAGTTGATGCAATCAACTGCTTTTCCATATATAGAAAACTTTGAATCAATTTGATCGTATGATCTGGTTGAATTGTAAAGTGCCTTGAGATGACGTGTTGAGAATTAACGCTAAATAAATAAACTGAATTGAATTGAACACAGCTTTTCTTTGGTAGAAGTCAAGTTTTTTTTTTGTTTGTTTGTTTAAAGCAACTCTTTTAGTTGAAGTAACTTTGTTTTTTTTATTGAAAGACACAAATTGACCTTCATACGCCTTGCAGCAGTAAGACTTTCTGATCAAAGTTGAGGCTTCATTAGCTCTCTATTTTAGCTCTGCAGGAATCGTGCTCTCTTCATTGTTTTGACAGCTTTAATGCAGCAAATAAATGTCAGAATGTGTGAATCAGGACATTTGTTCTCCTTCATGCCTGCTGCTAGAATATCCTTGTGCTAAATTATTTGATTTCCCATTTTGACTTGCGCCCCCTGGCGGTTAGGAAAAATCTGCAGAAAAGCCTCCATATAAGCTGCATTGTTCAAAGTGTGGAAAAAAGTAGCAGCTTATAGTCTGGAAAGTACGGTAGGTTAAAAGATCGTAAAAAAGCAATACATTATCCTCCAATCTAACAGAAGTCAAAAACAGGTGATGAAGAAGGACGCCTATATATTTAAGTCTAGAATGTGGTGAGAAAAGTTGTTTTTTAGGACTTCGGGACTTCAGCTAACCACAGCGAGAGCCATTATCTGCAAATGTGAAAACATAACAAATCACTGACACGTGATAACACCACACAGTAACATCTAAAGCTTTTACTTTCCTCAGTTAAGGTCAGTGTTTATGATTCAAGAAAAAGAAAGACTTCTGAGGCAAAAAACGAATCCTGACCAAAAATATTACGTGGACTGGCAAAGCTAGAAGAGAGCTGTTTTTTAGGAAGGAAGGTGTGTCACGTTACATCAAACAGCATTTTAACTACCTTCTATTATCAGAAAAGGAAGGAACTACAGTAAATGTACTTTTAGTACAAAGGCTTTTACCCTGAACTGCAAGTTCCTAAAGCTCAGCTATGCACATCTTTGATTTTTTTTTTAAGAGATCCTCAGTTGAAAGGCAAATGCCACACTACCACCGTCTTCTACGTCAGAAGGAAAAAAGTATTTGCTAGTCAACCTTGTTTAGGTTAAATGACATTTAGTAGATGAGAGGATACATTTGAAACAAAAAATGGTGAACAATTAAGGGCCAAAACTAAGGATTATTTTTCTTATCCATTAAGGTGTTGACTGTTTTCTTAGTTAAAAATCAGATAGCAAAATGTTCCTGACATGAGATATTTTTTTACAGAACTATAACCATTGTAGAGCTGAAATAACGTCACTACAGAGGTTCTGGATAGATCATATTTACTGTACAGACGAAGGTTTTTTTTTTTCCTAATTACAAAATGTAGCTGTATTTTTTTTTTTTTTTTTTATATACAGCTCTGGTATATGTATTGGTCTAAGTGGGTGTTTTTAGCAACAAAGATTTTTTTTTTTTGATTGTATACGGCTCTTAATGATTTTTTTCATACTAAATGAGTAAGCAATTATTTTAATAACTGATTAATCACTTCTATTCAGTTTAACTGTTTCAGCCATAGAACAATTGAATGAAAGCATAAGATTCACAACAAGGCAGTGTCTCTCAGGAGTGCTGTTAGGGTCTCTGGACTATAAAACAAAAATGTTAACTCTATTTGAATACTGTATGTTAAATATTTCTAATGTAATTGCAAAATATGACTGTTTGTTTTACCTTTTTTCACTTTTTTTGTTTTCCGTATGTGAAAGTTTGCCCTTAAAACTTAAATGAAGATTTCACATTATGTACCAGTGAATACCTGATGATATAACATATAATATCTACCGTAAAGTGAAAATATGTGCCTTAAGGTCCAATTACTGGTCCTGTGGCTGATTATTAGTCTGGACTGTTCCTCAGGAGGTATAAGTATACACCTACTGCCCTCATGTCTTAAAGTGTGTTCTTTTATGGCCAGAAAGAGTTTCTGAGAATGATTCTGCTCTCTCTCAAACGATAAACAACGAAAAAGGTCTCAGTTTTTGGCCCTAAGCAGGTCCATCTCGGATCTGCTTAATAAAGGAATAAAAAGGGATATTTTATGCTTGGTGGTCATCGAAAAAAAGGGTTATCATCGTCTTCTTAATTTTCTTTTTGCTGTTAAGGCCAGAAAATCTGCCGACGTGGGACCGAGCGCCCGTGCTACAAGGCATCCTACATTCAGGACAGTCGACGACGGCTGACATTTGAGGATGCCAGGCAGTCCTGCAGGTCTGAGGGAGGAGAGCTGCTCAGCATTGAGACGGAGAGTGAGCAGCGGCTGATAGAGACCTTCATACAAAAACTGAAGGCCGGAGATGGGGACTTCTGGATCGGGCTTCGACGCAGCCCGCAGGATTATAGGACAGGGAATAACAACCCAGGGTGCCCCTCCCAGTACTATTGGGTTGATGGAAGCAAGGCCAAATACAGGTTCTCCTGATTTTTTCTCCAACTGACTCTTTCAAACAGAACAAACTGGACGAGGAAACAAACTGTGTGTAACTTTAGTGTTTTATTTGCTACAGGAACTGGAACTGGGATGAACCGTCTTGTGGTGCTGAAATGTGTGTCGTGCTCTACCACCAGCCCACTGCACCAACTGATGAAGAGGGCCATTTCCTGTTTAAGTGGAATGATGACAACTGCAGCGCCAAGAACAACTTTGTCTGCAAATACAGGGAAGGTGAGTGACCGGAGCTGTGGCTGGCAGTTTCTAAATGTCTCTGCCAAAGTCACCAAATAGAATAAGGAACATATTAGAGTGTTAATATCCGCTAATGTTATAGTTATCGCTAGTTTGCTCTCCAAAATGTTAATGAGAGAACATGAGACGGCGTAAGTCAATGGGCGAGGCTTACTTTGATTCTTTGAAGTCTGTGGCTGTTCCCACCATGCTAGATCACAGCAAGCTCTCAGCGTAAGTTTATTGCATATATTAAAGACTAAACTAGGGATATAGAGGCTAAAGTTGCTCTCCTAATATTCTGTAAATTGAAATACCTTTTCTGCAGTTTTTTTTAAAGAAAATGTTGACTTTAGAGTAAAAGAAATACTAGACAAGAAGAAGTTGTCTTATCTCTCTTAGGCAGAAGCATCCAATCAGATGTCAGAGTTTTTATGGAAGTAGCACTAGTCCCACCTCCTTGATTTTGATGAATGTGTGATAGGTTAAATTATGGTGTGCTTCAGCATGGCAACAGAAAGTAATTTATTAAATCATGAAATAATTAGATTCACTTCTTTAGAAAGATGTCCAAAATATTTCATTGAAGCTCATATAATTGATTGTATATTTATTCAATACATTCTGTATTCATTTGTAGTCTTACTAGATTATTGAGACTTTGAAATAATAATTTATAAGGTATTTATCTAATGTGAACTCGCTACTTTCCATAGTCTGCAACCTTTCTATGAGGAAACAATATTGATCTCTAATAACCTCTCTGTAACATAACGGTCTAAAGCTAAATAATGAAAAATAAAAAACAGACAAGAATAATAAAAAAGAAGAAGAAGAAAAATTATCATCTCATTAAATATTTCTGAGCTCAGCTTTTTTTTTTTTATTGAATTATTAATAATGTACTTATTTTCTTCAACTTCTGCAGAAAAAATACCAGTACTCACAGGCGACAGGATCATAATGCAACCAGGTACACATTTCTCATGTTTAAATGAAGAGTGTAATATGGTTTTAATATAATTGTTGTTTCTGTATGTGTGTCACATTTATATGATATATTTTTTTTAATACAGGGTTTTCCTACTGACATTTTTAATGATTCCTGTAGAATAAATAAAACTGAAGTGTTTTTGAAGATGATCAAATGTGTTCAGAAACTTCCAATTAGCAACCATTAATTCCTAAATCCCTGTGCTGTAAATATGACATGATATAGGAGCCCTGTTTCTCATAGTCGCTTTTCAACACAGTAATACAGAGAAATAGATCTCATGTCATTGAGAGTTAGTTCAGTTTATCACCCGTTTCGGATGTGATCAACCATTAAATTGCCATTATTAGCAGTTATTAGCCCCATACATTGGCTTCAGGCTCTGCCTCCTCTACCTTCTAGTAGGTTCTTATGGCTAATAATATCATTGAAAACAGCCCCCTCTATAACTGCAACTTTTATTTACAATTTAGCTACATTATACTTTTTATCTTCTTTATTTATAAGGTACCTATTTTTTTAAACTGTATTTTAAAGCTGAACTTCATTTCCACATGCATGGTAATGTGATGTTTAAATATTTTTTTATTGGTTTGTTTAATATGAGTGACTTGCAGATCTCTTTTTTGTACAATAGATAAAGAACTACTAAAAATATGTGTACCGGTAGATTAAACATAAATAGATTCATTAATTCCACGGGCTACAACTTGATGACCTTAAGGTTAGGATTAGGTCAGGATTCATTCGGCGATAACATACTGAGCCTACTGGAAGGCACAATCTGGAGCCATTCCATGGGAATGATAACCGCCAATTATTGCCATTTAATTGGATGATAACATCCGAAGCCGCTGGGTTTATTGAAATTGCCTACTCTCTGTTACAGAAAATTTAAAAAAGGCTTTGACTGCAAAAAAAATCACAAGGAAGATGGGTTTACTGAAGAGTGGTAAAAGAAAATAAAAGATGCAGTAGCAGTAGTTATTAAAATAATTTAATTTGTGTTCTGACTAATGCAGAGGCACGTGTTTCCAGCAGAAAGGCATTTTTCCCTGTGGTTCCCAGAAGGAAAAGACAAGACTATATTTTGAAAGTTTTTCAAAATGCATATGAACAGGCTTGGAGGTAATTTAACAAGCTAAACTTGATTAGATTTAAAGGAGGAAGGTATAACATCTAAATACACTAGTCAGGACAACTGCTGTAGGTTATGTGGCCAAATGCAGGCTGATCATTTCCTTTTTTGGGGGATGTGTTCCTCTGTGGCTCCATTTTGGAAAAGGCTCATGTGGCATTGGAACAAGATGCAACTGTTTTATAATGTATGTTACACAAGTCAGAATCATAACTTTTCAAAATTGAAAGGATTACCTTTAAAGAAGCATTACAGGGTTTTCAAATTATACTGCCACCTGTGGCCAAAATACAGAACTGCAGCACTCTTCTGCTCACCTTTCTACTTGACAAGTTCTTTGTTTTTGTTTTTACTTATTTTACCTTGTGTCTGAGTTTAGCTGGATCTGAGTATCCACAAAATCCATCTTGAATATAACATTTTTATCGTTTACAATTTGACCCATTATACATGGACGTGCTTGACGTCACATCCGGCGAACAGCGCTGGAACTCTGAAGTGCATTAGGGGAAATAGGCTCAGGCTTGTAGATATTTGGGGTGTCTGTCTGGCCATCAAACAATGTTTTAGTCATAAAGGGTCAAATAAAACGGCTATTTTAAACATATGTATTTTTTTTTTTTTTTTTTTTTTTT